TCTGGGCTCTGATCCGCCTCAGGACTTCCAGTCTCCAGCTCCGCCTTGGCGTGAGGATCCCCTGTCTCCGCCTCTAGCCTCCGAGTACTGGACTCCACCTCGGTCCTTGAACCCATCGGCTCCGCCTTGGCTCCTAGCTCCCTCGTCTCCACTGTGGCCCGTCATCCCACTGGCTCCTACGGGCCCCCTCGTCCCTCCGGCTCCGCTTTGGTCTGTCGTCGACCATCCGCCGCCTCGGGACTCCACTCCTCCGGCTTCGCCGCGTCACTCCGTCACTCCGTCCCTCTGGCTCTGTCTGGCTCCTCCTTCCCTCCGGCTCCACCTTTGTACTCAGTCGCTCTGGCTCTGCCGCGGTCATCCGGATCTCGTCACCTTGGTCGCCTGAACCATCCGGATCCATGGTGTCGCCCTGGCGGACTCCCTCGTCCCTCCGGCTCTGCCTTGGTCAGTTGTCGACCATCTGCCGCATCGGGACTCCACTCCTCTGGCTTCGCCTCGTCACTCCGTCCCTTTGGCTCTGTCAGGCTCCTCCTTCCCTCCAGCTCCGCCACGGTCTTCCGGAGCCCCGCCTCCGCCTCAGTCGCCTGAGCCTTCAGCTCCGCCTTGGCCCTCCGGATCCTCTGTATCGCCCTGGCTCTCCGTCTGCTTGGCTCCATCCTGGCCTCCTCTTCTACCAGCTCAGTCTCTGTCAGTCGGCCCCCTGGTGTTGTCGGCCCTATCTCCACTATGGCTCCTCCCGCCGTCGACTCCACCGTGGGCTGCTATCCTGGCTGGCCTCTGGAGCTCCATCTGGCTCCTCCTGCTCCGGGCTCCTCCCTCCATCCACTCCACCCTGGCCCTATGAACTATTCTCCTTTTCTATTGCCTGTCCCTTGCCTGCCCCACGCCCGCGTCCTGAACCCCCACCCTCCCTTGGCAACACTGATCGCGTACACTAATTCGGTCACTGGTAAGCTCACTGCACATTGGGACAGTGATTACTCCGGTGACATGATTATACAACATGATTGATACAACGTCAACGGATCCCGCTGCACGGAGCTATTGCCTGAGCCCGCCGCGACACGAGAGCCAGTGTGCAAAGCTGCAACTGAGCTGATCATCGCCCCGGAGCATGAGCCTCAAGCATCGTCTGACCAAGTGCGTGTGCCGGCAACATCGTCCGTTTCCGAGGGAGTTTTGGTGGAGATCGAGGGCTTGGAGGGAAGCCCCGCCCACACTCCCCGACTGAGGGTGAGCTGCATCTGGTTTCTGGAAAATATTTAGAGGAACTAATGGACATTTTCCAAATGGACTTAATAGACTGGTTTGGGGAGGTAATACCCAGTTCTCCAGTGTCTCCGCTGGTTCTGCCCAGCCCTGAATCTCCTGCATCTCCACTGGTTCCGTCCAGCTCCTGTTCTCCTGTGTTCCCTCCCAGCCTCCCTCTCCCGCTTCCTCTTCTAAAACCGGCTGGTTCCCCACCTGGCTCCTCCTGCTCCGGGCTCCTCCCTGGCTCCTCCCTCCATCTACTCCGCCCTGGCCTTATGAACTATGCGCCTTTCCCATTGCCTGCCCCTCACCTGCCCCACGCCCGCCTCCTGAACCCCTACCATCCCTCCTCTGTTGGACTGCTTTTGTCGACGCGAGGACACGCCGTTCTGGGAGGGGCCGAACTGTCACAGTTATGGACTTTTGTTTGTGTTCCTGTTCTCCTGCCTTAAGTCTTCCTTTTGACCTAGTATTCCTGAATTGCCCTGATTAGTTGATTTGGTTCCACCTGTGTTTATTAATTATCTAATTTGTCTGTTAGTACTTAAGTCCTGTGTTCTCCCCTGGTTCTTTGTCTGCTATTTGTTGTTGTTATGTCGATGTGTGCTACCCTTTACTCTTGGATTATTTCTGTGGATTTCTCATTAAAGACTTTATTTGGATTTCTCCCATGTCGTGCGCTTTTAATAGCACCCTACCGTAACACTAAGGTTGTTTAGATGTTTTCTTGGAAAACAAGACAAAATAAAAATAATGATTTTTGTTTCTAAAGTAATTTTTTTCCTATGTTTACAATTTTTTATTATTATTCATAAATAAAAAATAAAAAAATAAACAAAGATAATTTTTGGTTCACAAGTAAATGTATCTTCTTTTATGCATGTTTTGACATTTTCTTTGAAAAACAAACAAGACTATGTTTGTTACTTGAGTAAACTGGTCTTATTTTAAGGATATTTAAATATGTTTTCCTGAAAACAAGACATATAATAATTATTTAAATCATTTTAATTATTGCTTCTCAGGTATTATTTTTTTGTTTTTGTTTTTAGGATGTTTAAATGTTTTGCTGGAAAAAAAAACACCAAGGAGAGACACCATCCTTTTATCATTTTAAAAGCATCTTTATAAATGTTTTCAAGGAAAACAGACATAAAATAATGTTTATTTTGCTTCAAGTAAATTGATCCTCTTTTAAGATGTTTTCTTGCAAAACAAGACAAAACAAAAATAGTGATTCTGTTTCTCAAATAAATGTTAAAATGTTCTTGTTTTAAGATTTTTAAATATTTTTCCTGGAAAACAAGGCAAAAATACAGATTAAGAAGCTGATTATGCAGTGAAACATGACTTAACTTTTGTTGTATATAGACAGTTTAGAGGTCAGATTTCTTATTCTGTCTTATTTAATTAAATTTTTCTTATTTTCAATGGAGTGTCCCTCAGTGATAAAAATACCATTTGTATGTGCTGACTGAATCAGAGTCAGTAACCGCAAGGATGGTGTCTCTAAGTTAGATTTAGAGTTGCTGTCTGTCCTCCTTGGTGCTTTGCACTCTCGAGGGGGTTAAAATGAAAGACACTCTCCCAAGAGCTGCGGAGAAGCATACTCTACACGTCCTCTGGGACCCGAGGCATTCATCCAGCCCTGCCGCCCAGAGAGCCATCATTTACAAGAGGTGACTTCCCTCTGAGTCTGTCTGCCTCGCTCTGCTGCAGGAAACACCACAATGTCACACACCCCAGACAAGACACAAGACTTGCTTTCAGAAAGTTGATAAAAATACAGCCAAAATCATCTTCTGAACTGATATTTTTGTCTTGTGTCTTAGTAAAAAAAATATCTCAACATTCATAAAACACTTGAGAAGCAGGATAATGAAACTTGTTTTCAGAGAAAATATTTTCAATTACATTTATGTTTCTAGCCCCATGGGCAAAAACCTCTCCAACTTTTGTTAGATTTGTGCACTGGAGCAATTCCAAAGCCAATGAAGTAAGAAAAATATACTTAATATTAAGACAAACTCTCTGAAAACAAGTCTCACTATTTTATGCATTTTTGCTCCAAGTAATTTGATCTTTTTAACTTAAAAACAAGACAAAAATACAGATTAAGAAAATGATTCTTTTGCACGGCAGACTCGGAGAATAGAGGCTGTGGATCATCTAACCATCCTATATTTTTAACAAGAGTCCAGTAATCGGTAAAAAATGGCGAGGAATAAAGAGGAGTGTTTGATCTTCGTTAGGCACTTAGGAAACAACTGAAAATGATCTACTGATCAGCCTCTGAGAGTTCAGGGTATGCTAGAGCAAATATTTGGAGACAGAAAATAGGTCTTAACCTGCTGAAACTTTCCAAACATGCCAGTCTGTGGGGCTCTTTATTGACTTCTCTTAAAAATGTGAATGTGTCCAGACTTCATCATGGAGTACAGACGAATAAAAGAGATCAAAATAAAACTCTGAAATGTCAGAGAGGGGCGGAATAAGCTGAAAAAAGAATTCGACAGCTCATCAGGCTGCATGGAAGGGAAATGTCATTAGGCAGTCCAGGGTGGGAAGGGGCTTTTCATGAACGACACTCTGTCCTCATGACTCAAACTCCCCACTAACATGAAATAGCCAGGATTTAATCAAAGAAGAAGAGCTCAAAAATCCCGACAGTTAGCATGGCGAAGTGTGACGTGACGGGAGCTTTCAGCAGAATAATTGATCTGTTTAATTTTTTTACTCAAAATTCATGCATAATACTCTTTAACAAGCATTCAAAATCCAAAATCACATTAGGAATAATGCAATACAAGTGATGTGCTGCATAATCAGATACTTATTTAATTATTAGTTTCCTTTAATTTCATATTATGTTCATGTTGTTGTATTTATATGTGTACACTGGAAGCTTCATTATCAAGAAAAATCCCTTCCCTGGCAGTAAAGTGCTTTCTGATTCTGAATTCTTTCAAGTAATATAAGAATTAAATTAAATTAAATGCATTACTTTTTACAAATACATTATGTCAAAGTAATTTTTCTGCTTTCAATCTATTTCAAATCATGGAAAATAAAAAAATAAAAACAGTGTAAAATAAATAAATTATTTTGTTAATTTTATTATCATTATTATGTAATTAAATAATAATAATTAATAAATAATATTCCATAATAATAATATAAAATAATATGATAAATAACTGTATATTTTACATTATGTATTATTATTAATAATAATAATAATAATAATAATAAGGCATTAGCAATATGTAAATAAGAAGTAATACTTAATATATAATACTCCTTGATAATAATATAAAATAATGTTTTACTGTATATATATATATATACACACACACACACACATATACTGTATATATATATATATATATATATATATATTCATACACAGACATATAAATATACAGTAATTTATTATATTATTTTATTATTTTATATTATTTTTAATAATATTATTTATAAAATAGGCAAGTATATATATATATATATATATAGAGAGAGAGAGAGAGAGAGAGAGCTGCCTATATGTTTTGTTTAAAAAGGGGATCACTTGTATTTTACAAGTAACATTGCCCAACACTGACCTCAATTGCATTCTAAACGCAGCCAAAACGACCTGTGATCACTTTGAAAGAAGTTGCAATGCAGGAATGGCAAGATGGTAACAGAACTACACGTGATAATCACATAAATGGAATGCTTATGACTATTTAAAGGCTCCACAGACTCACCGCAGCGGCCTTGGTGATGCACGCGGATGTTCTTCTGAGTGGCGCAGGCTTTCATGTGGAGCTCACATTCACTTTGGTAGTCCAGGCCGTCGCTGCCACACACCACGTGCTTGGGGACGTTCTCACAACTCAGAGGACACATGCACTTGGCGGACAGACCATCGGATGACTGGATGCAGGTGCTGCCAAAGCTACAGGTCACCTCACTGCATGGGTCCTTCAGGTCTGAAAAACAAGGAAAAGAGAAAGTGAGTGTAGAAAATGCCTGAATAACATTTGACAACATAATCTGAGATGAAGTGGCTCTTAGTGTGTTGCTATGTGGTTGCTTGTTTTTTAAGTTTTATAAAGTATGCTCGTACCTATTCATGCATCTAGCACACATGGTACAGGAGGAGTTACGTGCCAAAGTTTAATATTAACGTTAGCACAAATTACATGAGGTACCGTCGGTCGTGTTTGCATAATTGGTTGGCTGCTTGTCATGTTCACACTACAAAGTCTGTTTAAGGTTTTAAGTCTGTTCATGGGTGAGCTCCAAACATGAACCCTATTACTGAGATAAGATTGGGTTCAAATGAGGCACGATCTCCCAGCACCTCCACACGGCTCAGACGTGCCCCGTGTCGATACAGATGGCAGAGTGAAGTGGCTTAACCCGGGCTGAAGAACAGCTCAGTGCCCCAGACTTGAATATTTGGTCACAGCTGGGTGGGCGTACAAACAAGTCACTCTAATTCACCACAGACCATTTCAAGCAAGCTTTGCATTCACAAAACATTCTCAATTGCTATGCTTCAGCGTACCCGTCCTTATGCTGGAGGGACCTAATCAGCTTTTTTCACTCTGAAAATAAGAAAGCCACATTTTTTCTGAAAAAGACTTTGTCTATTTCTTATTAAACATTCCACCACTCAGGACTGAAGGTGAAGAAATTATTTACACAAAAATGACATTTCGGTCATCATTTATGCCATTCCAATCCTGACGCAAACAGATCTTAAATCCTGGCTGCTCCCTTTCATATAGTGAAAGTGAATTGGGGCTATCAAGTTTCAAAATGACAAAAAAAGTGTCTTAAAAGTATCATAAGTGGTCCATTTGACTCATGCATTATATTTTAAGTGCAAGTCTATTGAAGCCATATGATAAGTTTGTGTGATGAATAGACTGAAATTAAAGGGTTAGTTCACCCCAAAAATTCTGTAATCACACATTTGAATCAGATTTTGCCAGTGAATCAGTATTATGGAACGACATAAAGGTGAGTAAATGATGAACTAATCCCTTAATTCTACATAAATGAGAAAGGTGGAAGTTTTAATTTGCAATACACCAGGGCGATTTAACTGGAATTAATACATATCTGTTTCTGATACTCACAGGAACCATCTGATTATTATCATTATTATTTAGATGATACATATTCATGAGGCATTGACAAACACAGAGATGCTGACGAGTGAACGGACCGTGTCACTTCAGAGAGGGCT